AGATCAACCACCTTTTTAGATAGTCCAAATAACTCTGCATAAATTACTTTGTTTGGTTTAGATCTTGAATTATAGTTGTCTATATTAGATCAAATTGAAAAAAGATAATTAAATGTCAAATCTGAATTCACGTCAACTTCATTTTGCCTTTCAAATCCTTGTTGAGAAGGACTCTACTAGTGATTGTTTCCTAAGTATAGCAGAATGGCCAGTTAGTCTGGCTAATAAGTTTTTTAGCTTACAAGGATGTTTTAAGCAGTTCAATTCTACTTTTGTACCTAATTTTCATGTAATTACTTACTGTTTTTAAATTTTTTTCATAATAAATATAAGCATTATCACGTTTTTAAAAAAAATAATTATTTAAAAATAAATTTAAATTTATTGGATTCATCTTATTTAAGCTTATTAAATAATAATACTTTTATATTTTTAAGATTAACAGATAGCAAGATATATGAATTTGTATTTATAATAATTTATATTTATCTTTAAAAAATTACATATAATTTATTACAAAAGTATTAATTTTTAGAAAATTTCTAAGTTTACACTATGTGTATTGAACACTAATCATGTGATTATTAGTTATCACATGATATATTTAGAAACGTCATATTTGATCGTCGCAATTGTATATAATAAACTTTGTTGATTGTCACATGATTTACATCAATAACTATTGTTCTATTATTGATGTTACTGCGATTGTTTGTTTATTTGTCTTTACTCCTTTACCATAACCTTTCTCCCATTTATCTGAATGATTTTGTATCAGCGATTTAACATCTTCTGAATCTTATACAAGCATGTCGATATATCATACGTACCTATTATCGGAAGCGATAAGTTTTTGTTCGCATCTTAACATATAATTTCAACATCTAACTAAGCCACTTTTTTTTATTTGTTATCATTCATTATTGCTAGGAGGATTTAACAAGTGATTTTACAGGATCAATCCGCTTAGATGATTCATATTCCGATTGTTTGAACGAGCATCATATTAGAGAATCAGTCGATCTCAATGATAAAAAAGTCGGTGGTGGTTGTTATGATTCTACTGGGGATAATATTGCCTTTGTTGCTAAAAGTAGAGGTAGTTAGTTATGAGTCTTCTTGTAATGATATTGATTACTTGGGTAGTGGTAGTGGTACCTTCAGACATTTAGCTAATCTTCTCATTAGAAGATCAACCAATCCTAAAGATGAAAATGATGAAAACATTTATTATGATTCTATTGGTAATAATGTTGTTTCTGTTAATTGTGATGTTACTTCCCTGACTAGAGTTAGTGGTAGTCATGATACCTTTGGTGAAAACATTAACTCTATAGGTATT